ATGTTATGACCACTTAAAGGGAAATTATAGCCAAAGTATTAAAATTTCTTTTTGCAGTCTACATATGTTCTCTTTTAGAATTATGGGCCCCACATTGTGTCTTATTCAGATCTCAAAACAGAAAAAGGGTGCAGCGCATAAAGCAAACCCACATATCTTATAGGAGTATAAACACAATCAGTGCATAAAAATACAAAGAGAGATAAATACCCCAGTATTTTAAGATCTTTAAGGGTCATAAGTTTTTGTCAGATCCCATATAGAAACTGGTTCAAGTAGTATCACTTTAAGATGTCTCAGATCAAATCTTGAAGTTACTCTCAGGGATGTAGCTTGATCCTCAGAATATGTAAATTGTTGAACAAGCAAACATCAAATTAAAAGAGTATAAAAAGCACATTTATTATAAGTAAATAAAAACCTTACATTGAGGTCTTGTGAAATCAGCAAAAAAAATGACAGCATAAATAGCAGCACAACGCGTTTCAACGATCAATCTCGTCTTCCTCAGGTACAGTTCACATTGTTACATAAAATTCATACATTTAAAAGCCTTTTGGCGCGGAAAATCGGGTATTTAGGACCCGCCCCCTTTGCCATCGGACCAATCTGCAGAGACTAGATGATTTCCTCTTCACAGTCTGTGATTTACGGATTTATGCGTTCCATTCCTTTTACTTCCGGTATCGCATGCGTTCCAATATGCGTCTCACAGGGGGCACTTCCGGTTTCGCTTGCGGTCCGGTTTACCCAGCGAAAAAGTTCCTTACCAAGTTCATATGACTGCTAAACCTCAAGTCCACATAAACATAATGGCATAATGTACATGTGCACATAGGTGCTCATGTATATGTGTACAAAACATGTACATAGAGAACAGGGAAATAAATAAGAAAGGCAAGAGTTAATAATAGCCACAAATAACTAATTATGTCTATATATACAGATACATAATAAAATATATAATAAAAGAGTGAGGTAGAACCAATAAAAGTGTATTCACCAGGTGTACAAAAAATTAGATATAATTGTACATTTCAAAATCAATGTTTAAACCACATGGAGAGAGGGTTTCCAGCTCAAAGATCCATTTCATTTCTGTTCTATTCAGGATCTTGAGATGGTCCCCCCCTCTCCATGGTTTTTGAACCTTTTGGATTCCCAGGAAATGTAAGCATTTAGTGTCCCCATTATGTTTTTGATAGACATGTGCTGATACTGAATGATTAAGAACTCCCTTTTGTACATTCCTAAAATGTTCACAGATCCTGACTTTTAGGGGTCTAGTGGTACACCCTATGTACTGCAGTCCACAGATACATGTTAATAAATAAATAACATTGTTTGAGTTACATGTTATAAAGTCTTTAACTGTATATTCTTAAATAATTAAAATAAAAGTTATGTAGAACTTAGGGAAACAAGGATCTGAAGTGCTTAATCCAGCAGTGAGATATATTGGTTGATAATCTATAGCTGAAGGTGTAAGCAGGCAATATAGAAGATCAGTTGTCAAGTTACAGTAGTCAAAGGTCTTAGAAAAGTCATAGCAAAGACGGTTTGTGGAGTCAGCATGCATACATACAATGGATGAAAGAGCAACGCTGGGAGCCAGTGCCTGTAGAGGGAAATGTTTATTTCATAGTTTTTTATAACGCCTATGGTGCACTCATCTTTGGACATAGGAAAATTCTTGTTTTGCCTTGGCAGAAGATGCAGAGTACATCCAGCATCTATATATAAAACCAGAAGTGCATGTAGCTTTAGACCAGGTACCTTATGTTAGACATGTGCATTCGTTTTCAGACGAATACGATTTCGTCCCAAATTTCTGACTTTTTCATATTTATTTACTAAAACGTAAATTAAAGTCCTACATACAAAATATAAACGAAACGAAGAGGCAAATGCCTAATGCATTACCCTTTTGTTTCAGTTCTTTCATTTAATAGACTCCGTGCTGCAGGAGAATTAACCCCCACAGCACAGAGGAGAAACAAAAACCGCTGGTTCTCCCTGCAGCCTGAAACTTAACCCGTGCAGGACTGCATGGAGACTCTTACAAGCACAGGTTAAGTGACTTAACCTGTGCTTGACGAAAATACTCCTGCACATGCGCCCCCCAAAAAAACAACCTATACAGTAAGGGAAAAAAGTATTTGATCATGCTGATTTTGAACGTTTGCCCATAACAAAGAAATGATCAGTCTATAATTTTAATGCTATGTGCATTTTAACAGTGAGAGACAAATTAAGAAATAAAAAAAAAAGAAATCCAGAAAAATGCATGTCAAAAAAGTTATAAGTTGATTTGCATGTCAATGAGTGAAATAAATATTTGATCCCCTATCAATCAGCAATATTTCTGGCTCCCAGGTGTCTTTTATACAGGAAACAAGTGGAGATTAGTTGGTGACAGAAACATCTGCATGTTCGGGCTGCTATCAGGCCCCCTCCTCACTGCCTTCTCCTCCTCCTCCGCGGGCCCTCTCTAATTTCTCTTCATCCCCATGGGCCCGCGGAGGAGGAGGAGAAGGCAGTGAGGAGGGGGCCTGGAGAGCCAGTCCCTTACCCCCAACAAACTCAGGCACCATACAAGACCCCAGGGAAGCATGTTCGGGCTGCTATCAGGGCCCAAGGCACTGCCTTCTCCTCCTCCTCCGCGGGCCCTCTCTAATTTCTCTTCATCCCCATGGGCCCGCGAAGGAGGAGGAGAAGGCAGTGAGGAGGGGGCCTGGAGAGCCAGTCCCTTACCCCCAACAAACTCAGGCACCATACAAGACCCCAGGGAAGCCGCCCTCCAATAAAAGATAAGAGATTGTAGAGTGGGTTTACAAATGTACATTTTGCATGTGTGTCAGTATGTCTCTGTGTGTGTAAGTATGTCTGTGTTTGTGTTTCAGTCACTATGTGTCTGTGTCAGTCAGTATGTCTATCTGTGTCTGTGTATGTGTCTGTGTGTCAGTATGCCTCTCTGTGTGTGTATCAGTCAGTGTGTGTGTCAATATGTCTGTGAGTGTCAGTGTGTGTGTGTGTGTGTGTCAGTATATCTGTGTGTCGGTATGTCAGTGTGTCAGTATGTCAGTGTGTCAGTATGTCTATGTGTGTGTCAATATGTCTGTCAGTATGCCTGTAAGTGTATGTGTCTGTTTGTCAGTATGTCTGACATATGTTTATCTGTATGTGTGTGTGAGTATCTGTAAGTTGTCATTTTGTGTATCTGTATCTTGCCAGTGTGTGTATCTGTGTATCTGTATGTAGTCAGTGTATCTATAAATCTGCATGTGTCTGTATGTGTATCCGTGTGTCTGTATCTTTAAGTGTGTCATTGTGTGTATATGTGGCTTTATATCTGCATGTATGTCAGTGTGTATATCTGTGTATCTGCATGTGTTTTAGTGTGTGTGTATCTCTCTGTGTGTGTAGGGGTGGAGGGCGTGATTATATGTAAGGGAGTGGAGAGAGGGCAGGCTCCAGGAGGGTCCAAGCAAATGCTTGTCCAGGGTCCAATCAGTATTAAAGATGTCTCTCTCTGCTATTTGAATATGGGCTATCAGCCTCTATCTTGCAGATGGTTATTAAAATTATTATTTAGAATATGTAAGGCTTTGTGCAAAGGCAAAACAGAATTCAATTTACTTTGTCTTTATCCTATTAGACTATAGTAATACAATAATAGCAGTCTGTGTTTATGTGGAGTCACTTGGGCTTATGTAATAAACACTGAATTTAGTACAGATATACAAAATGTTGTGAAAATAACAAGATTCTAACCAGATCTGAAATTCTCATATTTACTGAAGCCAAATCTAAACAGATCTGCACCTTCAGATTGGGTGCTTTAAAAATTTTTTTTTACGCATACAAATCTAATATACTGTATAGGGTCTGGACATTTAAAAAGCACTCATTTTAAAGACCAATGCACTAGTTAGATTGCCCATACACTCAGTATAATTCACTTGCCTTTTAGAAACATGGTGCTAATTTGTAGCTGCTATAAGCTACTGGCTGTTAATAGCAACAGCTTACAGGTGTTGTTCACCAACAAGGTTATAAACAAGCCTTTACATTTTTGGAGATTCTCACTAATATGGTCTGCCACTAAACACACCAACTACTAGCAACTACCAGCATATTCGAGAAGTGCTGATAAAGCATAGAAACTTTAGCAGCTGGCCAGTAAAACTCAGCAATAGGGTTGGTAGAAGACTTTTGGTTTCAATACGATATATATCAAATTTGCTATAACTGACCTCTCTGCTAGGTCAAAACCTGATGTTCAGTTTTTTGCAGTTGGTAATCGGTCACCGCTTAGGAAAGTAGATACAGGCATTAAAGCGAGGTGGGACTGACTTGTAGAGAGTAGTGACAAGGATGTAAGCAACTCCATAGTTGGTTGCTTCTAAAAAATGCTGGAGATAACTCCATTCACAAAACATTGTATGGGGCTGCTATGAATAAATTACAAGCAGCTTTAAAAAACAGGTGAACATGGCACAAACCGACCTGTCCTATGAACAATATTTACAGCCAACTTAGTCATTCATCAGTATCAGTTTCAATGGTGTTTAAAGTAAAGTGGTCAATAGGGAAGTATATCTTAAATGTTTGGGATTGTTTGAACAGTCCTGAAGTGATTTTGAACATCAGGGCCCAATAACTGAGAAATGTCCAAGGAGAACAGTGATTAATAGATCATAAAAGTAATTATGCACTTAGCAGTGAGTCAACAACTGATCTGGAAAGTCTATGCATGGTGATTCATATAATTCATTATTAAAAAAACAAAAACAAAATGAGCATTTACAAATATATACACAAATATTTCCTTTATCCTAAAAAAAAATACTTTGATGGCCTTAGTTTTAGTTAGTTAGCACTGAGTTCCTTTAGAGCGGCCACAGTTATTGTCAGTTAATTATATTATGCATTTAAACAAGTGTCAAATAATAGGAAAACGCAATCCTCTTGTAATATTGACCTGGAGAATAGATGTACTCTGTACAGTTATATACATGTACACAGTGCTGACAGGATGCATGACTGTCTGCAGCAGGGGGGAATTCCATAAGCCTGAAAGCCATTCTTGCTGTGATAGTGTCACAATAAGTGACATAGTGCTGTGATCTTGCATGGACAGTGTTAGAGTTTGTCTCAATCAATCTATCAAGTGGAAGCTGAGCTCCTCTTCTGAGAGCATAATGATTTCGCTGGCATGGTTCTTCCACTTGTGCAACATTGGAATAAAACACTGACTGCGAAACACAGAATTCATTTTCTTTTCTTTTTTTATCAAGAGTTCCAAACTTTTTCCCCCCCCTCAGTTGTAAAGAACAAACTGTGCCATGTGCTTAAGATACTGCAAAATGCAACCTATAAAATACAGCCTACACAATCCTCTCTTGATTAAACATTTTATAAATAGGGAGGGCGTGTGGGTGATATCGCCATAGAGTTACCAGATCGCTCTCTCTCTCCTCCCCCCTGCCCCCTGCAGGCTCTCATTATTACCTTTTATATACCCCCTATGTATTCTGCAGAAGTTTACAATTATACACAAGGGATATAAATCAACCAGTATTGACACACAGAGTAATGTTGACAGAGACAAGTGGGTCCTGCTTAAACAAGCTCACTATTATCTATCTATCTATCTATCTATCTATCTATCTATGCATCAATCTGTGTGCCCTTCTTCAGAAAATATTGTATAATCACATATTGAATAAATGGACACTGTCCAGACCTAACTTTACAGTTTTCTAGTTTTTTGAAAATGAACCTTGTTTAATTAATTTAATAGGAGTAATTTATGGTCTGGATAATGCAATTTTGAATATTTATGTCTTCTTGAAGAAATATATTTAGTAGAAAGTTTAAATTAAGGCAAATTAGTTTTATATAAAACTAGTTTAAATATAAATTTGCCTTTGATGCAGTGAGATTAAATGCATACATTTTTATAATTTTCATCAGAGATAGGTGCCATTATGTAGCTTTGATCAGTGTATTGCTTGTTTTACAATATCAAAGCAGATAAGTTTATTCACTGCACTCAATACAATCAGATATGAGGCTGGATAGAAATCCATTGCCAGTGTTTAGAGGTGGTTGAGCCTAATGTAGGTAAATGGCTGCTTACAAGTTAGTGAAATCTCTAATCATTTAGCTATTTACAGGGAGATATATATATATATATATATATATATCAGGTACTATATCAGGTGCTGTTTTAGGTATAAAGAGTGAAATGTTGACAGATAGTGATGTCCCGAACGGTTCGCCGAATGGTTTGCCGAACGGCTCGCGAACGGTTCGGCGAACGGTTCGGGACATCACTATTGACAGACCTTCTTTCCATGGTTATGATTCCGTATTTAACAGCACTTGATATTGCCTTGTCCTCCTATAGTGCTAAGACCATAAAAGGCTGTGTAAACTTGTACTAGGCCTGAATGATATGCAGCATCGATACTAGGTGCAGGAGAACAAAAAGTTAGATGTAACCTGACATATACACAGTAACCCCCTTAAATACTGAATATGCAAACTTTGTATTTAAGATTTTGCTATAGGTTATTCAGATCTGTAGTGATGCACAACTGTTGGGAACACTATAGTCACCAGAACAACTACACCTTAATGTAGGTGTTCTGGTGAGTATAGTCAGTCCCTAAACATATCTTGCTGTATATACTTCCTTTTACTGCCTAGGAACACCGTCAGTGACCACTCCTAAGATGACCACTGGAGGTGCTTTCTCGGGCATTGTGCAGCACTGATGTTCAGCGTCTCCACACTATATGAGGAGATGCTGAACTTTCCTCATAGAGATGCATTGATAAACAGACACACACACACACTGAGAAACACACACAAATAGACACTCACTCACAGAGACACACTACCACACACACATACACATTCTCTCTCACACACGTATAAAATAGATTGATAGTGTTTATTCTATAGGTTATTCAGATCTGTAGTGATGCACAACTGTTGGGAACACTATAGTCACCAGAACAACTACACCTTAATGTAGGTGTTCTGGTGAGTATAGTCAGTCCCTAAACATATTTTGCTGTATATACTTCCTTTTACTGCCTAGGAACACCGTCAGTGACCACTCCTAAGATGACCACTGGAGGTACTTTCTCGGGCATTGTGCAGCACTGATGTTCAGCGTCTCCACACTATATGAGGAGATGCTGAACTTTCCTCATAGAGATGCATTGATAAACAGACACACACACACACTGAGAAACACACACAAATAGACACTCACTCACAGAGACACACTACCGCACACATATACACATTCTCTCTCACACACTTATAAAATAGATTGATAGTGTTTTTTTGTATTTTTATGAAAACCACCCAGCCTCCCTAACTTTGGCATAGCTGGTGTGGATCCTGTCCCTGTGTACCAGTGTGGAGCTGCTTTTTAAGCAGAGTATGCACCTGCTGCCTGTGTTCTGCTTTAGCACATTGCCACTTGCTTCATGAAGAACCCTACAGTGGCCAGCCGATTACCTCCTGTGCCACCTGTGACAGACAGTACACAGACGGCCCAGTCCCACTTGTGACGTCAGCGACCCCTGTTGTTCCACCACTGCATGTAACCATTGTTTGTCTCCTTGATTTTAAGATTGATATACCTGAAATGCAGTACATTTCCTTTATCTGAACCTTAAATGTGGCAACAATGTTTCATTTATAAGTACACCCAAGAGAATAAGTAGTTATTTCACAGAAGGATGTGTATGTTAATCTGTTGGCTGTACAGTAGGGAATTGTTTATGATAATATACAGCTATTTAGATTCAATTTAAAAGCTACCATATAAATTGATCTTAATCTTATTTATTTCACATTCTCCTACCTGCCATAGACTATTTAAAAGACATTTATATAAGCTATGTATATAACATATTTGCAAATTGCTTTACATGTATAGTAAACATTTCACATTTTTATGTTATATTCTCATCTTTTGGAGTTTGCATAAATCTAATATAGTTTCAGTAATGTCTTGTTAATAAATATTACATCAACATCAACCAGTAATATTAACTCTTTTTTAACTGTGTTTTTGGTAGGGTTTGCCTATTCTGATGTCCTTACCCATCACTTCTATGTGTAGATTTGCCCTTTTAGGAACAACATAGTTGTGTGTTTTGTTGTATTTTTTTAACTCTCACTTTAGATAGGGTTATATTATTTTCCCCCCAAGGTTAGACTGTAGTGAATACAAATAGAATGTTAATGGGAGTGCACAAATTCTATATATTATTAAACTGACATTATATTGTATTATATTGTAACAGTCTTTGCTAATCACACTTTGCATATCCCTGGCATATTGCTAATTTTATCACCTTTGTCTTGTCCATTATGTTAAAAGTTAGTTTAACCAGCTCAGGCCCATATATCTTATTGTTATTTGTTTAATAGTTTTATTTCCCTACATGAATACCTCTGTCTTATATATGTAATTTTCAATCTTTCCCTTTTTTTTTGCGTAAATGACTCTTAAATCAAATGTGC